ATCTCTCTCTCTCTCTCTCTCTCTCTCTCTCTCTCTCTCTCTCTCTCTCTCTCTCTCCCCTTCCGGGGCTATTCCATTACTCGTCGGCCGATAAATAACTCGACACCTCGAACGAGGCAGCTGCATGCATGCACGCAGTAGTCCACCCCGCCAAGGAGGCCCCGCGAATACGGCCGAGTCTAAGACACCTTAACAGGATTACCGAGCTTTCTTTTTCTTTGCGCTCGAGGGCTTCCTCCCCGATTATACGACCGCTCCTCCTCTCCTCGCCTCTCGCCTCTTCTGCCCGCTTCATCGATCCCTTGGCCGGCGGACCGATTCCTTCTTTCTTCATCGGGACGATTAATCGAAAAGGAGGGGGGAGAAGGGGCGATTACTTAGCGCTGATTGCGAGCCGGGAAGATGTATCGCAGTTGGCGAGCAACCGGTGGTGGTAAGCGGCACGAAATATATTAATTAGCAACGGGGTAAGGAAAAGTTGCGGGATGTGCGACGAAAGGAGGGGGAAAGGAGTTGGAGAAAGAGAGGGAAGAAGAAGAAGAAGAAGAATAATAAAACCCTGGGGTGTAATTTGTCACGAGAAGAGGCATAGATGTACGTTCCGCGGAACTTTCCCCATTATTATTAACGCTGTGGAAGCACATTGGCCGCACGCAACCACGATTTTTCTTTCGGGAAAAAACGGGGAGGAATCTCGCGGCAGGAGTCGGGATCGAGGGCGATCCGTTCCTCTCCCGGCGATTTTCGGGCGAAAATTTCATCTCGACTCGGGCAAAAACGCTCGTTGAAATTTTTTGAAATCGTCTCGCGGGAAGAGTGCGGACGAAACGAGAAGATCTCTCGATTCGAACTCGTATAATCGTGTTCACGAGTCGTGGAAGAGAAGAGGAGAATAAAATTGCGGAAATCCAATAGCAGTTCCCCCCCTTTACGGATCTTCCAACTTTGGAAAATTGCAAACCCGAGCCGTTAAGTATCTATCTCTCTATCATCTCTGTCACGCGTATATAATTTATCTCGTCCTCGGAAGACGAAAGACTTTTGGCCTTTCGAGGTTGGCCGTAATCGATGAATGCAATTACGAGAGAGCCGGGTTAAATTTACGGGGGATAAAAAGAGTGGCGCGGCTGATTACGAGCGAAATTAGCCGGTCACGAGTGCTTTAAAAGCTTCCGACAGATTCGATTAACGCGGTATTTGGCTTTTTTCGCCTTCCTCTCCCCCGCCTTCTTGCTTTTCCGAAAAAGTTGTTGCCGG